CATTCCTTTTTCCAAATTATTACCAGCTGGGTTGAAGGCTCCTTGAAGGCCTACTGATTGTCTGTATAATTAATCTTGTATTTTTTAAACCATGTGATCTTCCAGCAATAGGCCTTTGAAAGCTTTCTTTACTGGTTTACCAAGGACACAGAGGAGGAGCAGGACAAGCACCTCCTCATCTCCTCAGGGCCCTTCCCTGACCACCAACTCACAGGCACATACAGATAGAAAGTTTAAAAATGTTTTTGATGTAAGAACTTATCTGACATCCATTTGAAACAAATAGCATAATCACTTTATGCAAAAGCAAACAAATGGAAAATCTACATGTGGGAGTCGAAATTGATGTGTGCTTAGATTATATCAAGTTTTCCTAGTTGCAAGCTAGGATAGTTGTGAGTACTTTGAGGCCACGGTGTAAATGTGTAAAACATGCTCTGTTCACATGTGTTTAAAATGCCTGAAGAAACTATCCATGTGCAAAGTGAAAAAACCAGGTGCCAATAAGCCAATTGAAGGGGACTCTGTCCCCCTGCAAAATAACTTGAATGTAGATGGCTATTGACCTAGGGTGGCTAAAACATTAAAAACTACCTGCTGAATTAGAGTGAGATTAGCAATGGCATCTCTGNGGTGGCTAAAACATTAAAAACTACCTGCTGAATTAGAGTGAGATTAGCAATGGCATCTCTGCATATTAGAGGGGTACTTTAATGGGTGTCTAAGTGCGTGCACGGAGGGTGGGTATGTGTTCTCTGCTTTCTGGGCTGCAAATAAGAACAAGCTGAAAAGGTGGAAAGGCTTTTCTGTGCAGCTGAAAAAGCAACACCAGATGGTCTTTTCCTGTCAGGCCCTGGATCAGTCAAAACGCTAGCAGCTGAAGGAACATGTCTTATCTTTGATCTCTGTTAATCGTTAACCAAAGGCGTTTCCTTCCAGAACTCTTTGAGGCAGAAGGAGGTGGTGCTGTAATACAACACAGCCCCAAAACACTCTGACTCAAAGGCCAAGGTAGAGTTGAGAGTAATTAAGACAGGTAGTCCTGCTCAGGGACTCTTCTCTTTACTTCCGTTCTTAGATTTCCTTTAAAATCTCACTCTATATTATATCTTGACTTAAATGTATTATGCAATAGGGCTTAAGGTGATGAGTCAATAATGTATGATATTTTAATAAGGAGATCTACTTTAATGTAAACTGTTTAGTTAACATGATATGCTAAATACTCTGAGGCCTGCCTAACCTGGTCTGGAAACATTCTTGCTTATGATTCAAAAGAAAGGGAATATCTGTCATCAAAAAGAGCAATACCAGTGAAAGAATTCCCCAACCATTCAAATTGGCAAACTCTTCAA